CAGGACGTGATTCAGCACATCAAACTGCATCGATTAAGCCAAATTCCAGCTTGACATATTTTTGTTCGAGGTTAAAACCTTGAAGTGCTGGACTACATTGCATCATTACAGGCATTGGGAAGTAACGGAAGCGGAAGGTGGACTTCGGGGAAGGCGAACTCATTTTCCATCATAGACTGTTTGTTGTTTACTCATGTATAAACACAGCGGTGGGTACCTTTTTACAGAATTAATAAAAACCATAGGAAAAACGGGGAATAAAGCGTAACGCGTACTGCGATCGCCTTTCGTCTTTTCCTCTTCTTACCATTTGGTGGGTCGAATCACGCAGGGGTGGACTAGAGTGGGGGATGGGATTATACAATCTGAATGTCCGCGCCGCGCCACGCCTGGCGACGCAGTTAGCGATGCGACGCGGCCAAGCACAGCTGCTGTAGGCTTGGCGCGTCGCGTTGGACTTGACGTCCCTGTCGTTGGCGGCCGGCGCAAACTACGTAGTCCCAGACTAGTCCGAGGAGCAAATCTATAATAATATAACGTGCGTTGCCTGAAGCTCGCTCAGCGGGACCGGCAGCAGTGCGTCGTCAGTGTCAAGCAAGAGCAGAGTGAAGGAAAAAAAAAAAGATTGAGGGGGAAGTATAAGCCGAGGAATGTGACATGACATGTGTCAGCTCGGGCACAATGGGGCGAGGAGTCAGAGAGCTCGGCCTGACTGGGCCCATAGGAAGGAGACCGCCCAGCAGGACGAGTGCGAACTCCTTGAGCTGCGGCCCGGTGTCCGTGCGGCCCGCGCAACGCAAATCCGTACGCAAATGAAGGCGACCCCGCGCCATCCCATCCCCTCAGCCCAGCTGGTCATGCTGAGCCGCACGCACTGGTGCGGGCGGGTTGCCTACTCACTTGGGGGACATGAGCCGCCCGTCGGGGGAGTGCATGAACCAAAACGCTTCCGCACGGGGCCAATCGTCCCTACTGTAAACCAGGACCAGGATGAGGAAGAGGTGGAGATGGGTGCCCCACCCCCTGCCACACCACCCGCGCCGAGGAAAGCGTAGAAAGCGCGAAAGAGGAAGAATGGGTAGAAGCAGAAGAGACGCGGTGGGTTGTTCCGTTGGAGACCGAGTGGCGGGTTGGGGCGCGGCGTGGCGGGGCGTTGGCGGGGCGCAAGCACCTCGTAGAGAAGAGACCTAAACGCGCCCAGAACAGAGCAAGGTCCGTGTCCAGAGCTACAGCAGGCCATCCCGTCACGACCCGCGACAAGGCCCCCGGCGCCCCTGGCGCCATACACACACACACGCACATAGGCACACACACACGCACCTAGGCACACACACACACTCATGCACATACACACTCACGCGCGCGCGCACACGCACACGCTCAGTGGGGAGGTTGCTGCACCTGTCGAACCGCCGGTGATATTACCATGTCCTAAAGGCCCGCTGCCGAATGCGTGCGGTTGGCGGCGGCGGCTGGTTCCCTCCGACGCGGTGCGGTCGCCGCTCCTCTCGCACAAAAAGCAATGAAAAGTGAGAGAGAGGGAGAAGCAGGGAGAGTGAGCGAGAGACCGAGAAGGGGCGAGGGAGAGAGAGAGAGCGAGAGAGAGATAGCCAGAGAATTGAGATGAGGGATAATTTCCCTCGTCTCCTCGAGATTGAATTGGCTGCACGAAAGTCTTTGGGGCCTGCGGCGTGGCGCAGTGGGCGCACGGCATGGGCACGCCGTGCCGTTCGTGAGGTGGCGTGGCGTGCCGCGGCCGGCATCATCGTCTCATTTTATTTTGTCTCGTTTCCCAGGCGTTTCACGTGTTTCATTTTGATTTTCACCAAACCGCCGGAACGTTTTTGGGGTCCTTTTCGTACAGCCGCGCCGCGGCATCCGCTTTGGCGCACGTGATATGCGGTGCGTTGCGGCGGACGTGAACCGGGACGCAGGCACCATAACTGAGGTAAAATGAGACAACTGCAGTAGAGAATGAGCAATACATAGTAGGAAAGTGAAGAAGCAGGAATATTATGGCAAAGCCTCCACCAATGAGTGGGCCGGTTCCCATTCGAGCAGGAGCAGACGACATTCCTCTTCTTGTTCTTCACTTTCGTGAGACAAGGCTCATGGAGCGTGCGCTCGAGGCCGTCATGACGGTGAGCGAGCACGCGCGGGGCCGGGGGGTGGGCGGGGCGGGCGGAGCCGGGGGGAGCCCGGCGCGGAGCCACGAAACACATTTCGGCTCATGAGAGAGCTTGCGGCTGCTCATGCCATAGGCCGCCATGGGCCGCCACGGGCCCCGGGCGGGCGTTAGTCACCGCAGAAGACGTCGACGACCGCGCCTCACCGGCTCACTCACGGCGGCGGCGCGCCGTCACCGCGCCGCGCTTGGTCATCACGTCTCCGTCTCGCCGCGGCTCCACGGAGGCGAGCGACGGAGACGGAGGAGGCCTCCGCCGCGCACGCGGCCCCGCCCGGACACCACACCGCGGCGTGGAGTGGCGGGTTGCCGACGAGCCGGGGGCGAGCCGGCGCGGCGAGCGCCCACCGCGCCGACGTCGTGGCGTGCCGCTGGAGAGCGGTGTGGCGCGGCGTGGCGCGGCGTGGCGGAGAGGGGAGAGAGGAAGGCTTGGCACCGCCGTCAGACAAAGACGACGCGCAGCCGGCAGGCCAATCACACGCAGATAAACAAAACGTCCCTCTCTATCGCTCGGCCGCGCCTCTCGCCTCCGTCTGTCTCTCTCTCTTCCTCCTCCGGCTCCGGCTCCAGCGCGCTACAGCTCCATCGCCCCTCGTCTCTCCGTCACTCCCTCTCGCCCGCCTCACTGCTTCTCTCTCTCGCTCCGCGCCACACGGATGCTTCGCTTCGGGGCTCGTACCGCGCTTTTGGCAACGCTGTGAGAGTTCGTGACCATGCCTGGCGGTGCCGGCCGAACGCCCCTCCCCGCGCCCCGCCCCGCCCTCGCCGCTAGGACCTCAGCACGCCAGGCCGCCGTCAGCCCGTCAGTGGCGTACCCACGACTTCGATCTTGGATGGATCGACTCTCACGATATCGACCAATCGACCCCAGCGGCGGGGAAAAGAAGCGCGCGGTCACTCCGGCTCACGCGGTCAGCTCATCGAGTTCAAGTGCATCGGGCGCCAGGAGCTGATCCAGACGAATTTTAAAATGGGGTTCGGTTGCGGAGTTCAATTTTCCTACCTACCAGGCGATAGTCGTTGGGTCACCCTTAGTCCTCACAGGCAGGATGGACTCTTTGGCCCCGCATCACAGGACTCGACCGACACACACCTCTCTCTGGACCGGGGGGCGCCTCATGGCGCAACGAGACGCTCCCAGCGTGGCCCCGTGGTGTCGGATGCAGGAGGATATGTAGTTAGCGATAAGTAGGGTCGAAAAGGAGGGTCCGGCGAAAAGGAGGGTCGGCGCAAACCGCCGCGTACGCTTGATGAGCTTGCTCCTGTCCACATTTCAGGTGTTCATAGTTCATAGCGAACGTGAACGGATGCTTAAGTGTCGAAAAATTGGACAGGAGCGAGCTCAAACAGGCGCACGCGGCGGTTTGCACCGACCCTCCTTTTCGCCGGACCCTCCTTTTCGACCCTACTTATCGCTAACTACATATCCTCCAGGCCAGTCGGCCCCGCCGCGCCCCGCCACGCCCCGCCCGAACCCGGTCCTGCCCCGGGGAATGCAGTCCGGTCCCTTACCTGCCCCAACACCCCGTGCACGCCGTGCACTCGGACCCCGCCGGACCTCGTCGCCCTAACCTGCCCTACTCTCTACTCCGTAACACTCCACTCTCGCTTTCATCTATGGGATCATCACCGGGCTGGCATGGGGCCATGGCGGGCGGGAAGCTCGGCCGCTGCTCGGGCTGGCCAGCCACGCCGGCTAAAGAGCCTTGTTGTGTGGCTTGTCTCGCCCCGAGCAGGGCAGAGCGGGCAGAGCGGGGCCCGATAGCCGGAGGAGAGCATCGCACGGCATACATAGCATCAACAACTCCCGGAGCCGGCCCGCCAGGACGCCCGGAGGAGAGGAGAGGTGAGCTGAGGAATGGGCGGGGTGGGGGGCGGGGGAAGGGGGGCCCAACGCCACGCCACGCCACGCCACGCCACGCCACGCCACGCCACGGCGCGGCAATCTTCAAGACCTCAGCTCAGCCTGGGATGGAATGGACGAGTCAGTCAGGAGTGAGTGTAGCGAGGCGGGGCGGGCCGAGGGGAGTTCGGCACTTTACGACGGAGACTTGGTCCGGAGCCGAACAGCCGAACGGAGAGCCGAGCCGAGCCGAACGGCGGCCACCACACCAAGCTGCGCCCGCGCTGCGACGGAGAGAAGAAGAATCA